GCGTCCAAGTTGGCCAAATGTGGTCTCAGGCGCTGTGCTATTTGAGGTGCTAATTTTACATTCGACTGTCCGTCGCTCATCCATTTGGATGTTTGGGAGTCGGATCGGCGAAGTTGATGGTTCGGTCGGCGACCGCGATTGGAGGGACTGAACACACAGTTGGCGCCAGCTCTCTGACAACGGCTACATTTCCCTGCATCGTTCCGGTGACATCGCAATTTGAGATCGTGGCAGCGATCGCAGGCTTGCCGTGACGGTGGTTCATACATTCTCCGGGGTCCCGACGTCGAGATTCTTCGGGCACGTGTGGGGGGGGCAGATGTTGGGAGAGGCGGGGAAAGAAAGAGCCTAAGAGATGATGCGGCTCTTACAAAGAACGTTTGTTTGTTTGCCTTAGGAAACCCTGCTACCGAGTGACACATGGAACTTGCATTTCTGACCTGGTCCCTGTTATATTTGTATGTCCAGGTTTAGTTGAGATCGAACAAGTGCCTTTTATTTGCTGCTTGTTCTTTTGCGTCACTCGTGTTCAATCATACTGGGGGCCTCGCCATGAGATTGGGTTGGGCCCGCAGATTGGACTGGTTGGCGATCTCCGGGCTGGCCTTTCCACGAATGACGCGGAGCTGGGCGGCTTTGGTGCTTATTGTACATAAGAACTAGCAAAGCTCAGGTAAGCGGTTGCGGCTTGTATCTCCGGCAGAATATCCTAGTGGCTTTGGGTGATCTTCGTCACCTCCTCAACGACAGGTACGAGCTATCTAGAACCTCGTATTTATATTCGTATACAGACATGGATCTAGATATTCATGAAGAAGATACTATACCCCATCAGGAAAATGATCATATACTGGAATTCTAATATAGTACTTTTCGTAATTTATATATGAAAGTCTGCAACTGACGAAACTCAAAAACTCTTCAAAAGGATGTACTATATTTATGCAGTCTATCTATATGGGATATGGCGTGACTTGTGGCTGAGAAATTCGCATTATGACAGGCGCCATTTTCTATCAATTGTCATGCAGAGATGGTCTACACCTCTGGCTCGGCTACGATAGTGCTTACGGCCCGCCATGGGTAGCCATCCTTGTGGCGTTAAAAGCGCTCGCGGGAACCGGTGCTTGCTAATACAGCGAAAAAGTACGGAAGATCTCAAGGGAGTGCGTGTTTATAGCGACGACAGCCGTGTCCATAGCATGGATGAATTCGGTGACCTTGAACCAATCAGCAGCCTGGAACGTTCGTATATGTGATCTGAAAGAAACATCACCGAACTTCAATTCGGCGTCGGCCATGTTGACAAATGCACCACCCAATTCTTAGAAATCTCTGTTCGATCATGTCCTTTTTCTGCGCGCGAGACAGCCGCTTCGGCTTGCTCGATTCTCGATTCTGTACTATACACGAACCGGTACAATGTCGGACACCTCGGACACTGCCATACAGCCCGTCGAAAAGAAGCAGGGGAAGGGATGGCGCTTCTGGGCGATCTATATCTCACTTTGCGTGTCGATCCTGCTAGCTGCCGTGGAGTCGACGGTCACGTCAACCGCATTGCCGTTCATCTCGGATGAATTGCGTGCGGGCGAGGACTATGTTTGGTTTGTCAACTCATTCTTCCTCACGAGGTAAGCCCGTTCTCCTGCAAAGGCTCTGCGGTGGATGAGACTAACCTTTTCCAAGTGCTTGCTTCCAACCCCTCTTTGGACAGACCGCGGACCTCTTCGGACGACGATGGCTGATGATCGGCGCTGTGGCCTTCTTCGTCCTCGGCAGCGGTATCAGCGGCGGTGCCATCAACTCTGCCATGATGATTGCCGGGCGAACAATCCAAGGAATTGGTGGAGGTGGTATCAACGTGATGATCGATATGATTGTCAGCGACCTCCTCCCATTGCGTGAAAGAGGAAACTTTATGGGGATGATCTTCGCCGTGTTCTCCATTGGCACCTCCCTTGGTCCGTTTATCGGAGGTGCTCTGGTACAACATAGTTCCTGGCGATGGGTGGTAAGTGCTTACTCGATACTGATACCTGATGGGACGTGTTTGGCTCATGCAACTCACAGTTCTATCTGAACCTCCCGATTGGCGGAACCGCGCTCGTCTGTTTGTTCTTCTTCCTCCATGTCAACTACCAGAAAGAGCCCTGGCAGAAAAAGCTCAAGCGAATTGATTATATCGGCAATGCGCTACTCATGACCTCCATCGTTTCCATCCTGCTCGCTCTCACCTGGGGCGGTACCGCCTACCCCTGGTCCAACTGGCGCATCATCATTTGCCTGGTGCTCGGATTCGTCGGCATGATAGCCTTCCATCTATACGAGGCCAGCCCGTGGTGCGTAGAGCCCATGATGCCACCACACATCTTCGGCAACCGGACCTCCTTCTCCGCTCTGATACTATCCTTCATCCACAACATGCTCACCTTCTGGGTCGTCTACTTCATCCCCGTGTACTTCCAGTCCGTCAAGCTGTCGAGCTCGACTCGCGCCGGTGTGCAGTTCCTGCCCAGCGTGATCCTCGCCGTACCCACCGCTATGGCCGCAGGTATCATCCTCACCAAATGGGGCCGCTACCAGCCCATGCACGCCGTGGGCATGGGTCTGGCCCTGTTAGGGCTGGGCCTCTTTACCCGCCTAGATGCCGATTCAAGTGACGCCGAATGGATCATCTACCAGATCATCACCGCCATCGGGCTCGGCCTCCTGCTCACGACGACCCTGGCCGCGGTGCAGGTTCCCCTGGAAGAGAAGGACGTGGGCCTGGCCACCGCCACCTGGGCGTTTATTCGCAGCTACGGCGCCATCTGGGGCATCTCCATCCCGGCTGCGATTTTCAACACACAGTTTGGGCGCTTGTCCAGTCGCATCTCGGACCCTGCTGTTGCGGCGCAGCTGGCCGGCGGCGAGGCTTACTCTCATGTCTCGGCTACTTACATCAAGTCTCTTGAGCCTCAAGTTCGGGATGAAGTCATCAGCGTATACTCGGATACGCTTAAGCTGGTTTGGCAGGTTTCGCTCGCTTTTGCGGCCTTGGGATTTATTATCGTCTGGTTTGAGAAGCAGCTCAAGTTGCGTACGGAGTTGGAGACGGAGTATGGGATCGTGGATCCGAAGAAGGAGAAAGATAGTGAAGGGGGTGTTGCAGCGTAGACAGAGGGGTGGGGACAATTTGCGTCGGAGGTACCAATTAGATAGTTAAAAATTGACTTAAGGGAAGGAGAATTGGAGAAGAATGATTCGGTGTTTGTGTGGTGCGCTTGTGAATTGCTTGGATTGCATGGATTTGTCTTCATAGTCGACTACGTTATTCCGATAATACTAATTTAATATGTTGCAAATTTCCCAGGTTGCTTTGTACCTCCGACATAACCCAGACGGTTATACACTTCGATGGATCCCAAACTGCTCATCCAGGAAAGCGAACACACGATGCTGCGCTAAGCCAAAAATGCCAACCTTGGCCTGCAGCCCGCCGTCAGACACTTCCTTGCCAACCCACAGACGCTTACGCTCGTCGGGAAGATGCGCCAACCGAGCAAACACCTTGTTCGCGCTGGGGTCCTCGGTGGCGTAGATGGACGCCGCAGCACCCGTGACCATGACAGGGCACTTGACCCGATCAAGGTACTCCCCACCATCTGCAGTCCGGAGTGTAAAGTCCTGCATACGTCGCATGGCATCCGCAGGGGTCTTCATACCCATGGCCCACTTTACCTGGTTCATCTCCCATTTGATCTGGAAGTTGAGCCGGGACAGGATATTCATTGTGCCGTTAAAGATGCCATCGCCCAGCCAACCTGACGTCCAGGCCTTGATAAAAGGAGCCGGCATGCGAGTGATGGCAACTTCCCACATTGAATAGAACGGGTCGACCGCGATACAGGCGGAGATGCGGGGATCGGCTGCACCTCTCAGCGCGTAATACCCTCCCAACGTGGCGCCATGGAGCGCAATGCGAGTGAGATCGAGCTCCAGATCGGGATGCTGCGTCGCGAATCCGTAGAGAAAGTCCACCACGGCCCCGGTGACAACCTCCCAATCAGGTCGCATGTATGAGTGGGCCTCGCGGCGCAATACAATGCCCTGACCGGGGCCTTCGAATGTCAGCACGGCATATCCCAACTCGGGTCCTGATGCCCCGCCAATAAAATACAGCTCCTCAACGGTCGAGTCCAGACCTCCAGTACTGATCAAGACAGGAGTCTTGGCATCTCGTAAGCGCTTGGATGTTGCGGGCAAGTAGAGGTAGCCGGGCAGATGAATGCCCTCGTATGGGATGTCCACTTCGTAGACAGGTCCGTCCAGGAGATGAGTGGCTTTTTTGAAGTTCTGGATCGAATGCTCCGCTGTTTCGAGAATGCGGTCATCTGGTCGCGTGTTAAGCATGAATTGAGCGGCGCGAAAATAGTTTGCGGATCGGAGCAGCGCATTGCGGCGGGCTACTTGATTTCCTTGTAGCTCAGCCTCTTTGGCTAGTGTTTCTGCTCGGGATCCGGCTTTTGTCCATGCATTGTACCAACTGTTCGGGTCTTGCTCTTTGATGAGCGGGAGGACATCGAGGGCCTCGCCGATCTCGCATCCGCCAAAGGTTGCAGATCCAAGTAGTCGGACGAGTTCGAAGTTGAAGAAGCCGTCTTTGAAGAACTGGTACATTTTCGAAATGAGCCCACGCTTGAGACTGGGAATCTGTAGGGGTGGTGTGGTGCATTACATATCGACATCCAGCGGAGTTGACTAAGTTGAGCTTGTGTTGGTTTTTACTTGTGCTTACTGTTCGATAGTAGTCTTACAGGCGATTCGGCATCCAACGTCGCCGAAACATTCGGGTCCGATGCATAGGATCGCCGAAATCAATGGTCGTATGTTGTCGTATGATTGAAGGAGAGACAGACAGAATATCGAGGTTGTATAACTACAGCCACGAGCCTTGGGAGACTGCACGCAAACCAGGACAGCCAACAGCCTCCAAGCAACCAAAAATATCCAGCGCCATGACAACCACAGACCTAAACCTCGGCCTCAATCTCCTGAGATTGGCCCCTCTGGTCATCTCAACTGCGTCCGTGATGTGCGGAATTGACCAAACCACCGCAATTCGACCCTTCGCGCAGCCTGCTCTCGCTAAAGCCGGTGGACCTGTTCTCCCACATTGGTTCCCGGGCTTCTTCGATCGCACCATCGCCGTTGTGGGCGCCTCGTATCCGCTTGCATTTGGAACAGCGCTGATCAATACGTGGAAATACGGGGCCACACTCGACCCCATCACGAAGTACTTCTACTGGGCTGGAATGGTGTTCTCCGCGGGGCATTTTCTCTACGGCCCGGGAGCGATGAAGATCATCGCACGGATCTGCGAGAAGGAAGAGCCGGGCTCGAAAAACACCCAGGCGACACACGAGTGGCTCGCTATGAACTTCATCCGCATGCTGACGGTTGATGGACCCGGCTGGATCATGTACTTCTGTGCCGTGTTGTCTGCAGTGCGTTTCCCGTAAGGTGCGGGCAGCAGGCCTTTGCGCGGCGAGGTCGCATTCTAATTTCTGACACAATGTGGGTGGAGAACGTGTATCATGGTGGCAAATGGGGGCAGGAATATCTGAAGTGAGATGGAATGGGTTTTGTTTATAGGTTGATGCAATTACTAGCCAAGGGCATTCTCGTTTGTTCAGAGTGAGGTTGATCAGAGCACGCAAACAATATAAACATGTCGTGGAACAACACGTGCGGAGACCCTGAAGAACATCTGTGCTGTAACTCGGCTGTTAATAGATTGAGTTTGACCACGGCTTTAAGTTTCAACTTGCATGCAGAATACGAGTTTCAAAATACAATTTAGTTCTACTTGTTGTTTGAAAATGACTGAGAAGAGTTTAGCCGGTCATGTATGTATGTTTGTCATTCAATCAATTTCCCGAACCCCCCCCGGTCCTCAGAACAAATTCCCGGATTACCCCTGTCCAACCACATATACCAACTTGGACGCATGCACTTCGCCCCTCTTCAGCCTCTCAAGGCCATCGGACACCCCGGCCAACCCCCCTTCCACGATAGTGGGCCGCTGCGGTTGAAGCTTACCCTCTTCGAGCAGCCTGTCAATCTTCGGACACCATGAAACCCCGAATTCATAATCCTCAGGCGTTGGATCCCGGTGGAAGGCGCCACCAAGCCCCACCTCTTCGCCGGTCACCGTGAACGCGAGAATCCATTCTGCATGGATGTCTGGTCGCAGGCGCTGCACGCGGTCGGGGAATGGGTCAAGCGAGACATACCGCGCGCCCGGTTGACTCCGCAACGCGTCGTAGCAGATACCCATGCTGCTCGTGCTTGAGATGCAGTCTAGTGCATAGCCAAGCTCATCCTGCGTGTACGTGCGTATATCCTTGCCGCACGTGTCCGAGTGATAATCAAATGCCACTTCTGCGCCGAGATCTTTGACTAAGCCGAAGTTCTTGGGCGAACAGACGGCGATGACACGATATCCAGCCATCCGCAGAAGTTGGATGGCAATGACACCTGATGAGGATGCTCCTCCGTACACAAGTACGGACGGCGATGAAGGCGTCACCTTGCGTTCGGCAAAGGAAAGACCGAGGGTTTTGAACAAGGAGAGTCCACCAGTTGTCGCACCGATTCCAATGGTTGCCGCGCTCTCAAACGAAATATTGTCTGGGATTCGATAGAGCAGGTCGGCCTTTGCCACAAGGTATTCGGCAAAGGATCCGTTCGATGGGCGGAGAGGATTCGCACCCATGATCCATCCACACACTCGTTCCCCTTCATTCAGTGCTCGTTTGCATTTGGGACCAACAGGACCTGCCACTGTCCCTGAAAAGTCACACCCGCTGATAGCCCCTGGGGTACTGGAGTAGGCCAAGGTCTTCCAGTCCACCGGGTTGAGAGCAATCGAATGAACTTTGACTAAGACTTCATCTTCTCCTGGCTGAGGTATTTCGACGTTGGACTCCAGCCGGACCCGGCCGGGGCCCTCTGCCACTATGGCGTACTGTGATGGCATCTTTTGTCTCATGGAAGGTGTTTGTCAAATGGATACATACGCATGAATCCTTCCTTCTATATTGTGACAGATGTCTTGCTTCGTACCCTTAGCGCTTACTTTCTCATCTCCGACCCTCCACCAGCACGCCGTGCTGATTACCGAGGAGATCCTCCAAGTCGGCCACCTTCCTCATTTTGGAGATCACGTATTTCGGACTTTCTCAGACTCACTGAGAGCCAAGAGGGGAGGCTTGTCTCAGGAATACGCCGTAATCGGCGGTCTCAGGATTCACACCTGGGGAGGTGGTCGGCGTCCCTTGTGTTGCTTCTGCGGCACATGGAGAATAGCCTTTTTTCCGCCGGGACTTCTCTGGATTCAAACAGCTAAGGCTATCTTGTTGGTAGGCTCTGCTTCGGCGATGTGTCGTGGGGGCCAATATCAGTTTTATCCGGTCACTTCATGAGATAGACCTATATGACGATGTGCAAGGTATGCGGGCAGAATATGATCAATATACTCATTTTCAAAACCTCTTCGTCGTCTGTTTTAGAGGTGTAGACAAATTATAGACCAAAATGGCTGTTGGTAATGAACCTATCGCCATCATTGGCGCTGCCTGTCGATTTCCTGGCGGTGCCTCCTCCCCATCTAAGCTATGGGATCTATTGCACCACCCTCGCGATCTTTCTAGAAAGCCTCCCACAACTCGTTTCAATGGGGATGGCTTCTATCATCCCAACCCGGAGCACCATACGACAACCAATGTCACAAACTCTTATTTCCTGGAGGAAGACCACCGACTGTTTGATGCAACCTTTTTCAACACCACCCCGAAAGAGGCGGAGGCGATCGACCCACAGCAGAGGCTTCTCCTGGAGACTGTGTATGAGGCCATGGAATCTGCCGGTCTAACTCTGAAAGGAATGGAAGGAAGCCAGACATCCGTTTATGTGGGACTGATGTGCAATGATTTCCACGACATTCAAGTCCGTGACCCTGACTACCTCCCACAATATATTGCCACCGGCGCATCTCGCGCGATCATCTCGAATCGTGTGTCCTACTTCTATGATTGGAAGGGACCTTCCATGACCATCGACACGGCATGTTCGTCCAGCTTGGTGGCGATTCATCAGGCCGTTCAAAGCCTCCGATCCGGTGAGAGTACAACGGCATGTGCAGCTGGTGCCAATCTGCTTCTCAGTCCGGAAAACTATCAGGCAGAGTCCAATTTACACATGCTTTCTCCCTCTGGATGGTCCCAGATGTGGGATGCCAAGGCTGATGGATATGCTCGCGGTGAAGGCATTGCGGCTGTGTTTCTCAAGACCCTGTCCAGTGCGTTGGCTGATGGAGATCATATCGAGGGTATCATCCGGGAAACCGGCGTGAATTCGGATGGCCGTACACGAGGTATTACCATGCCGAGTAATGAGGCTCAGCTGGCCTTGATTCGTGCTACTTACGCAAAGGCTGGGTTGGACCCCCTCCGGCCGGACCAGAGATGCCAGTACTTCGAGGCTCACGGCACCGGTACCCCTGCAGGTGACCCCCTGGAAGCATCTGCCATTAGTCGAGCATTTTTCAATGAGCAAAGTGTTGACCCAGGCAAGCTACTTGTCGGGTCTATCAAGACCGTGGTTGGTCACACGGAGGGAGCCGCTGGAGTGGCTGGAGTGTTGAAAGCTATGCTTGCCATGCAAAATGGCATTGTTCCTCCCAATCAACATTTCGAGTCGCTTAACCCAGGTGTCAAGCCTTGGTACACGCACTTGGAGATTCCAACAGCGCCACGCAAATGGCCTACAACAGCAGAAGGCACTCCCCGACGAGCAAGCATCAACTCCTTTGGCTTTGGCGGCACCAATAGTCATGTTATTCTTGAGCATTATGACCCGGCTATTCATAGCCCATCTATTCATGACAAGTCGGTGCAAGAGGGAGAGCTAACCGTGAGCGCGGCTGTCACCGAGCGTCCACTTTCGCTCCCAATCGTCCTGTCTGCTCATACCGAGCAATCCCTCCTCGGTATGATCCAAGCATATTCAGAGTACTTGAAGACAAACGACTCGGTTGATCTGAAGAGCCTTGCATGGGCATTGCTTGAACGTCGTAGCGTGTTCCCTGTCAGGATTGCCTTTTCGCCCGGCTCCCAGAAGGATGTTATCGCGCAGATGGACGCTGCCATTGAACGTGGACGTGACGCCGGCACACGGCTGAAAATCCTAGACCTTGAGGCTGGACCTCGTATCCTGGGCGTTTTCACCGGCCAAGGTGCGCAATGGGCCACCATGGGCCGGGCCCTGATTCTTCATTCGCAGCTCTTCCGAAAGACAATTGAGGACTTAGAACAACATCTGTCCGAACTGCCACATCCGCCTTCATGGTCTTTGAAAAAGGAGATCATGGCGTCTCCGAAAACATCTCGCCTGGAAGAAGCTGCCTTATCTCAGCCGTTGTGCACGGCGGTGCAGGTTGCGACAGTGAATCTCTTGCATGCCGCTGGAGTCTCTTTTCATACCGTAGTGGGCCACTCTTCCGGTGAGATTGCGGCAGCCTACACCAGCGGGTGCATAACGGCCCACGAAGCTATTCGAATCGCCTATTATCGTGGCTACTTTGCCAACCTTGCAAAGGGATCGGATGGTCAAAGGGGTGGAATGCTGGCTGCCGGTCTTAGCTTTGAAGAGGCACGGAAATTCTGTGATCGCCCTGCCTTCAAAGGCCACATCGTAGTAGCTGCGAGTAACTCGCCATCCAGTGTCACACTGTCTGGAGATCTTGATGTCATCCTGGCAGCCAAGACTGCTCTTGATGCCGATGGCAAGTTTGCTCGGGCACTGAAGGTGGACACCGCGTACCACAGTCCGCATATGCAGCCTTGCTCAGAGCCCTATCTCGAAGCATTGACTGCCGTCCCAATCCATTCACAGTCATCCAAGCCCGGTTGTGCGTGGCTCTCGAGCGTCTACAGCGACAATGGACGGCCCAGAAAAGAGGAGCTTTCAGGCACATACTGGCGAGACAACATGGCCAACCCGGTCCTCTTCTCTGAGGCTGTGCAGGCGGCTTATGAAAGGCGTGGTCCTTTTGATATTTGCATCGAGGTTGGACCCCATGCTACGCTCAAAGGACCTGCAACGCAAACCATCAAGGAAGTGTCTGGCAACGCACGGCCGTACCAAGGAGCGCTGCACCGGGGCAAGGACGATGTGGTCTCGTTTGGCAGTCTTTTGGGATTCTTGTGGACACATCTTCCTGCAGGTGCCATTGACTTCAAGGGCTTCGCAACAGCCATGGGTGAAGATGTCCCACATCCTTTGCCCATCCCGAGGAATCTACCATCCTATCAGTGGGAGCACAACCAGGTCCATTGGAGGGAGGGGCGCCTGTCCAAGCAATACCGAGGCCGACCCCCATTTCATGAACTTCTGGGTACCAGGCTCCCTGGTGATGTCGAACATGCACCTCGCTGGCGCAATATTCTTCGAGGAGATGAGGTGCCGTGGCTTCGCGATCATCGCTTCCAGGGCCAGATCATTGTTCCAGCCGCTGCTTACTGTGTGATGGCAGTGAGCGCAGCGCAATCACTCAGCAAGGGCCTTCCAGTTGAGACCATCGAAATCACTGATCTGGAGATCGAGAATGCTATCACCCTTCCAGATGGTCCGCCTGGAGCGGAGGTACTCTTTACTCTCCATCAAACTGAATCTACGGAGGGGGCAGACAAGGGTGTCATTCGTGCAGAATACGCCTGCTTTTCAGGTCCCGCTGATGGTTCGGGACCGATCAAGAAAATCTTTACAGGGAAGCTGTCTGTCTTTGTGGGCCGGTCACAGGACGCTGGTCTTCCAGCTAGGAGCAAGGTTCGTCCCATTCTCTACCCCATGGACGTCGATGACTTCTATGAACAAATGACGAGCATTGGTCTCAACTACACCGGATCGTTCCGCGGTATTCAAGCTGCGCAGCGCCGGCTTCACAATTCTACCATTCGTATTGGCGCTCCCGGAGAGGACAGTGCTTCGTTCCTTATCCACCCTATCACGCTGGATGTTTGTTTCCAGGCAATATTTGCCGCATATGCTTCACCAGATGACGGATCGCTTCGAACATCATTCCTTCCTCAGAAATTTGGCCGCATTGTCCTGGCTGTCCCTGAGTGTCAGTCCAATATCGACGCTCAGTCCAGTGTCACCGTCGACGCCGTTGTGACCAATATTGTGACCGCGAACACTTTCCAAATGCCTGCCATTAATGGTGACCTTTACGTATTTAATGAAAAGTCTGGAAAGATGCAAGTCTTGATTGAGGAATTGTTGGTCAGTTCTTTTGCTCCTGGCTCGGAAAGTGACGACCGTAAGCTATTCCTCGAAGACCGTTGGAACCTGGACATCCTGAGCGGTCTCAGTGCTGGTCGCAGCAGCCTTGAAATCTCTGAGAAGCAGGCGCCCACGGACGCAAGCAAGCGCGTTGCTCATTTCTACCTGAGAGAGCTAAGCAGGGAGGGCACAGTACCGCGTGTTATCCCAGAATATAAAAACCTCCTTCGATTTGCAAGCTCTCTCTCCTCTCAGAGCTTAGGTGGTAGTGCCTCTGAGAACTTGGCATGGGCAAGCGATACCGAGAATGACATCGCTGATCTTGTCAGGCAAGATCCCGATAATCATGATCTGAGATTGAGCAAGGCGATCGGAGAGAGACTCCCGGCTATTGTGAGCGGCGATGCGACTTTGGCGGACGACCATATTGCAGCGATCTTTGACCAAGCCCTTGGAAAAGGATCGACATTAGAGCTGGGTTATCGCCAACTTGGCTCAGTCGCCAAGCAGATCGCTCACAAGCATCCTCGGATGTCTATCTTGGAGATCGGTGCGTACGCGGGACGGGTTACAGGGTCCATTCTTCAGGAACTGGACGATGCTTTCTCGAGCTACACTGTTGCCCATACATCTTCCGCCTCACCGGACTACTTGGCGGATGTACACGGTGCTCTACCCAGTGGTATTTTGACAAAGGACCTGAATTTGAACGATGACCTTGAATCTCAAGGTTTCAAGGTTGGCTCGTTCGACCTTATCATTGCGGTCGGCCTAACACCTCTGCCTCTTCCCCTTCGTGAATCCCTCTCGAGACTTCGCGGACTGTTGAAACCTGGTGGCTTCTCCGTATTCTTTGAATCAACTGGCACCGCAATTCAGTACCCCTTCATAATGTCTATCCTTCCACATTGGTGGTCACTTGAAGATGAAGACCGGTCTGAAGCGAGAACAGTGCCACTGGTCACCTGGGATCGATTACTTCGCAAAACGGGCTATTCTGGTATTGATGCGACTCTCAATGACGGCCCAGAGCCTCAGACGTCTCTCATTGTGTCCCAGGCCACAGACAATGTTGTGAAATCTTTGCGGAAGCCCCTCCAGTCTCGAAAAACGGTTGGATCCTTCCCCGGGAAGCTATTGATCCTTGGCGGGAAGACCTTGGTGACGTCCCAACTGATCAGTCAACTGGAACTGCTTCTCGAGTCTTGGTTTCAAACCATCCTGGTCGTAGACTCCCTTGAACACTTGAAAGAGAAGACCTTGGTGGATGTTACCGCTGTGTTGTCTCTGAAAGACATCGACTCCCCTTTCATCAAGGACTTCAACAAGAAGTCTTATTCTAACCTCAAACTGCTGTTCGAGCGTGTACCCAGTGTTTTATGGCTCCTGCAGGGACATCGCCAAAGCAACCCCTATCACGCCGCGTCACTCGGTCTTCTCCGTACTATTGCGGCGGAGATCCCACAGTTGCACCTTCAATGTCTTGACGTTGAGCAGACTGAGAACCAGGAGCTGCATCTCGCAGAAAGCATCCTTCGCTTGGTGATCATCCAAACGAAGAAGATTCGGAACGACAAATCAATCCTCTGGACTGCTGAGCAGGAACTCGTCCTTCATCGGGGACTTTTCTGGCTCCCTCGGATTGTGCCCGTGAGGGAGCTCAATGATCGTCTCAACTCCATCAAAAGGCTCCTACAGAGAGATGTTGATTCGTCTTCCATTCAGGTGATACTTTCCAAGACAATTTACGGCAGCGAAGCCGCCAGGTACACTGCTGTCCAGGGTCTCAAAAGGGACGCTTTCGTCTCTACTCCGAGCACGGACAGGTCGCTGCGCTTGAGTGAAAGTTCACTTGTCGCAGTTCGAGTCACAGAGGGAGTTTCTGTCTTCGTCGGACTTGGTCGGGATCTGACGACTGACGCTGAGTACTTGGCCCTCCTTCCTCAGAATGCCTCTCTGGTGACTGTTCCCACCTCGTGGACGCAACGCCTTCGAGAGGGTTTCGCTCCAAGCCTTTCAATCGAGGCTGTCTTGAGATACTTGGTGGCTCGGCGGGTGGTAGACTTGGCCTCCTCGTCAGGGTCTACGGTCGTGCATGGACTGGACAGCTTACTTGCCTCCATCGTTTGGGACAGAGCACAGACAAACGGAAAGCGCGTCGTTGTGGCCACTGACAGACCCAATGACACCTCCCTGCCGGCGCACATTCCTACGCTGTACCTTCATCCTCATGCGTCGAAGTTGATGCTTCGATCAAGTCTGCCTCGGGACACGAAAACGCTGATCGACATTTCTGTTGGGCAGAAGTTCCTTGGAAGGCTGAAGGATATCCTACCTCGCGACAGCGTGGTACTCACATCAGATGTCGTGTTCAGCGACCATGCCTCCTCACACGGTGTGGACCAACCTGTGGGATTATGGCAAGATTTCTTTGTGCAGGCCATCGGTGACGCGAATCAAGCCCTTTCACGAGTGCGACCAACCGAGCTACTACAAGCGGCGTCTGATAGGTCTCCATTGACAATCATTGACTGGACTGGTGACGAGCGACTACCCACCACCATTCAGCCACTAGATGCCTCTAAATTGTTTTCTAGCACGAAGACCTACCTTCTTGTTGGGCTGACGGGTGAATTAGGACAATTCCTTTGCAGGTGGATGATAAACAATGGTGCTCATCACATCGTTGTCTCCAGCAGGTGAGCTAGACATCATTTTCTTGAGAAAGCATGATTCGTAGGGAAGGCAGCTGACGGACAAATCATAGGAATCCTCAAAGAGGCACACGATGGGAGGCCGAGCTTCGTTCCATGGGGGCTGACCTGCACATCGAGCCTTGTGATGTTACGAGTAAACCGGATGTTGTCCGGCTCGTCCAGAAACTGCGAAACACGTTGCCTCCAGTTGCTGGAGTGGTCAACGGAGCCATGATCATGCATGACCAGCCCTTCGCAGATATGGATGAGGAGACCTTCCGCAAGGTGCTCCGGCCGAAGGTTGATGGGTCTAATAACCTTGACGAAGCGTTTTGGGATGCCCCATTGGATTTCTTCATAATGACTTCCTCCACCGCAGCTGTCGTTGGTAAGTTCCCGTCCTTCCAGGGAATAAGGATTCAAGGAATGACTTTCTTCGCTAGGAAATCCTGGGCAAGCAAATTATGCCACAGCAAATCAAGTATGTAACCCAAATCTCAGGTAGAAGCAATTACTGAAATCAGTTTTTCTTTAGTACATGGTTGGTCTAGCCGCTCAGCGCAAAGCACGAGGCGTGGCTGGCTCGGTTGTCGACATCGGAATGATCATGGGAATCGGCTACATTCGCCGCAGCGAGGGGAAGGCAACCTATGAACATTTCCTCGGCAAGCAGAACTTGATGCCAATTTCTGAGCACGACATTCGCGACATATTCAGCGAAGCCATCCTCGGTGGCCACCCTGTCACAGGCGAACGATCTCAAATCATGACCGGTCTGGCTAAAGTTGATCTATCTGATAGCAGCAAGCGGCCAAGTTGGATCGCCAACCCACGCTTCTCTCATCACACTTCGAATCTGAGCCACAAAGGGCCCAGAGCGTTGGATCAGATGCGTCTCCTAAGACCAGACTCCGCCAAGCTGGCAATGCTCAGGATGCTTCACTAATCCTGCAAGAAATGTTTGCTGCTGAATTGGCTGTAATTCTGCAATTGCCGCCCGACAATGTCAATAAGTCTATCTCTTTGTTGGAAATGGGGGCAGACTCGCTTGTAGCAGTTGAAATTCGATCCTGGTTCCTGCGAGAGGTTGGACAGGATGTGCCCGTCCTGAAGCTGTTGGGCGGTGCGAGCGTTGTGGACTGTAAGTATTCTTGCCTGAAAACTATATCGTTGATACTGACCTCGGTGACTACAGTATGTGACGAGCTAGCAGTCGAAGTCCTTGCAGACAATGCCGCTGGTGACGATGAGCCCGTTCCCGAAAAGCAGGAAAGCGACTTGACTGTTGGACAGAATCCACCGGAGAACGTTGGTCTTGCTGAGGACAAGGCACGCGTGGAATCGAGTGCCTCATCTGATGAGGACTCGACACCCGGAGATACTCAAGCACAACCGACCCCTGATACATCCGACAATGAGTCTACCACTTTGAGCAAGCCAGTCTTGCCTCCATGGCTGCGCATCGACCCCATGTCTTACGGACAATCTCGAATCTGGTTCCCTTCCATTTACCTAGAGGACAAGACCACATACAACTGCACAACCTCCTATCGTCTCAACGGGATATTGGATGTTGGCAGACTCGAGACGGCACTGCGACTAGTGACTCAGAGGCACGAATCCTTCCGTACCTCATTCCACACGGATAGCTTCACCGGTGACGCCAAGCAGGTCATTCTAAGAAGGAGCAACTTCAGGCTCCAAATCCTGAACTCCACGAATGATAAGAGTGATGTTGAACGAGAATTCAACAAAATGCACAGCCACGTCTATGACCTTGAGCGTGGTGATACCTTCCGTGTTGTTCTCCTGAGCCATGCACCTGACTATCACACGATTGTCTTTGGATATCACCATATCATGATGGACGGAGTCAGTTGGCAACTCACGCTCCAAGACATCGAACGATGCTATACCTCGCCGACGGTGAAACATCCAATCCCTTTGCAATACTCGTTATTCGCAGAGAAGCAGCGACAGGCTATTGAGAAGGGTGTATATGCAAAGCAACTTCAGTACTGGAAGTCACAGTTCCGTGATCTACCGAGTGCCCTCCCCTTGTTCAGCTTTGCAAAGACCAGTTCCCGCAAGGCGATGACAAAATACGAAACCATCGAACTTGTGCGGCCTCTCGAGCCCGCATTGACGAATAAGGTGCGAGCAGCCAGCAAGAAAGCAAAGGTTACAACATTGCATTTCTATCTCACTGCCTTCCAAGTGATGCTTCATCATTTCCTCGGCGTTGATGATCAGTGCGTCGGTATTGTGGATGCAAACCGTACCAATCCGGATTTCATGCAGACAATCGGGTTCCTCTTGAATATGCTGCCATTGCGTTTCAAGCTTCAGAATGACCCAAGCTTTGAGGACATGGTCCAACAGACTCGCACTTCTGTCTATGCCGCACTTGGTAACTCAGACATCCCAATCGATCTCATTCTCGACGAACTGGACATTCCCAGATCGACCACCTTCCCCCCGCTGTTCCAGACAATCTTCAATTATCGGATGGGGGCCCTGAAGCAAAGTACTATTGGTGAAGTCGGCCTTGAATGGCATGATTACAAGGACGCACGGAATCCTTATGATATCACAGTCTCTGTCGATGAGAAAGACGATGGCACTGGCGGCTTCTTGTCATTGGGTTTGTTGGACTACTTGTTTGACCGCGAAGGCGGGCAATTGCTCATCACGGCATACGTCAACATTCTCGAGCAAGCTACTCTGGATCCCGGTATGCGACTCAGTGACTATGTTCTGTTCCCGGAAGGTGAATCTTCCAAGGCCACGTCGTTGGGGCTTGGCAAAAAGATTGAAACGACTTGGCCGGACACGCTGTCGAAGAGAATCAATCAACTGGTCGAGGCTCAGCCTGATGAACCAGCCCTGAAAGACTCTTCCGGAAGCGCCCTGACCTACCGTGCCATGGGTGACCGAGTAAACGCTATCGCCGCTTCACTCAGTACCCTTCCTTCGGTGCGGGCTGGGTCGCATATTGGCGTTTGCTGCCACCCGTCGACAGATTTGGTGTGCGCGCTTCTGGCAATTCTACGTCTTGGTGCTGTCTACGTGCCTCTTGATCCCAGTATGCCTGTCGAGCGTTTAGCATTGATCTGTGAAGAGGCGCAGCTACAGGCTCTGGTCCACGACAAGGCAACTGCCAGTATCGCGAAACATCTCCGTCCACAGGATAAAAACATCGTCGACCTTACATTCCTTCCAAGCCACACTGAAAAGACCGTTCCGGATCTCAGCGAAGCCGCATCAAACGCATTCATCATGTTCACAAGCGGCTCAACTGGCAAACCCAAGGGTGTCCAGCTAACAAATGCCAACTATATGTCCCATGTGCTTGCCGCATCCCAGCGAATGGGTCTGCAAAAGGAGACGGTCCTGCAGCAGAGTTCAGTCAGCTTTGATTTGTCGCTCGCTCAAATATTCTATTGTCTTTCCAACGGAGGTACTCTCATTGTGACCGACAGCCAAAGGGATCCAGAGGCATTGGCGGCGTTGATCCAACGCGAAGGAGTGACCTTTACCTTCTGTGTGCCTTCTGAGTATTCGATTTTACTGCGATATGGCAAAGAGGCACTGGCATCTTGCAAGTCCTGGCGCATTGCGCTCTCAAGTGGCGAGGCATTCCCAGTCAGCCTCAAGGAGAAGTTCCGTGATCTCCAACTTAACACACTAACAGTCTTGAATGCTTATGGGCCAACTGAAGGATCCATCGTTGCTACCATGTGTGAGGTAGACTACCAGGCTATCAATGATGAAAGAGTTCCAATTGGTAGCACGCTCGACAACTACGCCGTTTATGTCGTCGATGATGCGGCAAAGCCAGTCCCAGTCGGCTTTCCCGGTGAACTTGTTCTCGGTGGGCCTGGGATCAGCCCGGGATACTGGCGCAATCCAGAACTCACAAAGCAGAAGTTCATACCAGACTCAATCTCAGGCCCTGAAAAGGCGATCGATGGCTGGAAGACTCTTTATCGTACGGGAGATAAAGCACGCCTGCTTGAGGACGGATCCCTGGTCTATCAAGGCAGAATTGAAGGAGACTTGCAGGTCAAACTCCGAGGAGTGCGCGTCGAACTGGAAGAAATTGAAAATGCGATTCTCAACAGTGCCCACGGCATACTGTCCGATGCTGCAGTCGTCCTCAGGGGAGAAACGGAGAAGTTCCTGGCTGCGTTCGTTGTTTTCGCAGACGATCGTGAACCCAAAGATAACACATCTGAATACCTTCGATCGTTGCGCTCGACGCTCCCTCTCCCCTTGTTCATGAAGCCTGCCATCATCGAGAATCTGGCTAAGCTTCCAATCACAGCTTCGGGAAAGCTTGATCGTCGCGCGCTAAACACTATTCCTTTGGGAGACATCCCTGGCGCCGGCTCCACTGAGATATTGACACCTACCGAACTCCAATTGAGCGACATTTGGCAGACACTTCTAGCAGATGTCGGTGAATCTCTAAAGATTGAGAAAGCATCTGACTTCTTCTCAGTTGGTGGTAATTCGCTCCTCCTGCTCAAGATGCAAGCTGAGATCCGCGATCGTCTTTCCATCGAACTTTCCCTGCCCGAGCTCTTCCAGAACAACACACTCGAAGGCCTTGCTGCGCGTATTGATGCAGCCGGTACTGGCACTTACTCTCAGATCGACTGGGAGGCTGAAACAGCTGTTTCCCCCGAAATCATATCCGTCAAGCCTGTGTCGCGCCCATCTAAGGCCGTTACTAAGACAAAGACTGTTCTTCTGACTGGTGCCACCGGGTTCCTCGGTCGTGCCTTGCGCCAGCAGCTGGTCGATAGCCCGGAAATTGGAAAGATCGAGTGTCTGGCTGTGCGAAACCCCACCGCAGCCCGCGAGCAGTCGAAGAAGATCTCGGTCCATGCAGGCAATCTCAACTTGCCTCTCCTGGGACTCTCCGAGAGCGAGGCAGACAGGCTCTTCGCATCGGCTGATATTATCATCCACAATGGCGCTGATGTCTCCTTCATGAAGACTTATCACTCGCTTCGCAAGCCAAACGTGGAATCCACCAAGGAGCTTGTTCGCCTTGCCGCCAAGTACCAGACGCCCTTCCATTTCATCTCCACGTCTGGAGTTGCCCATCTCAGCGGGAAGGACTCGTATCCCGAAATTTCTGTCGCGGCATACCAGCCCCCAACCGATGGGTCTGACGGATATGTGGCATCCAAGTGGGCCAGCGAGCGGTTCCTCGAACGCGTCGCCGCTCAGACTGGACTGCCTGTGTGGATCCACCGACCGACGAGCGTGACAGGTGCTGACACCCCAACTATGGACATTGTGCACACCGTGCTGCGCTACTCCCGCCTCTTGAAGAGCGTGCCCGAGCTCCCGGGCTGGGGCGGATACTTTGATTTTGTACACGTGGAGTCCGTGGCTCGGACGGTCCTCGAAACTGCACTGGCAGGAGTCGCTGTCGACACCAAGGAGCCGGTATATGTCCACCACTGCGGAGAAACCGTCGTCCCCGTCCAGCAGGCTCGTGCTACGTGGAAGAAGAGGTTGGTGAGACTGTTACCGCACAAGGTACAGCAGACTGGATCGCTGCAGCCTCTGCTGAGGGAATGGACCAGTTGGTCGCAGCATTCTTGAAGCTGTTTGCAGATGGGACTGCTCACTCTCTTGTTTTGCCTCGGCTGGTCAAGGGTGGACCGGAGGCTTTGGAGGTTTGACGTGGGATAAAGGTCACGGATACAGATTGATGTAACTATGCCGGAAGTGCTACTGTAATATAGAATTTCAGTTATATAGGACTCCTGTCATACAATAATTGGCAGGTACATTGAGAAATCTCTACTTATTTTACTTTGTTATCAGTGTGTGATCCCAACTATACTACACATTGGCACTGAGAGATGCCATATAGATAGTAAACTTATTTAGGCAGACAGTGGATTAGGGCTAGATTCTGTCAAAGGTATAATATTGAGAGACCCTACTATGCTTGTCTCATAGATTTAGTTTGGTGCCTTGGTCATTAAGGTTAAATAAAAGCTCTAACCTTAACCTTCTGGTCAATTCTTTCTCCATAACGACCCCAGCTCTGGATTAGGTTTTTGAGCAGGCCAACCCGATCCTAATATTAGTATACATGCCTTTCTAACTACAATAAACGGGATAAGGGTAACGTGCACCTCAAGTTAGATACCGGAGATTATTATGTAGGACAACTGGATGCTACACAAAGAAAGGAACACAAAGGAAACCGTCGCTGGCGGGGAGGCTGTCTGGGAGCAAGCTCCAGGGTATCCAAAGACTAACTTAGTCCCCATGAACCGTAGGGAAACATAAGACTGTACTGCAAAAATGGCCCGAGCAACGCTGGATAGGCACTGCGTCCGGTCAGCGTCATGGAAAGCGAATCAGACTTCCCTGAAAGAGAGTGTGCAGTGCTGGGAATGAAATGCTTCATTGTCTATTAGGTACTTGATAATGGAATGAATACTGCTTTCATAAAGACGTAGTCGTTTCCTAAGTAAAGGCTTACAGGCTGATTAATTCTTTGACCAGAGTGTCTCAGTTAAGGATACGGACCATAGCATAGTTGCAATTTATTTATTCAGGTTTCCACTAGATTACGTAGTAGTCATGTCAAGGTGATTGATCATCAGTCATCAATTCATGGCTTTATGTCCTATCAAATACCATGCTTACAGCTTGCCCTTCGCTGGACCACAGCAGGCCGCCGGCTCCGGGTGCAGCGTGGACTTGTTAAATAACTGCGAGGATTGCGGCACATCCAGGGCCGGGTTCTTCGTGAAGAACCCGTCGGGCTTCAGCATGACACTAATGCGCTCCATCGGCATGACGGGGAAGTCTTCGATGCGGGGATTGTGGGTCAGGCCGAATGCTACCTACAGTTAGTTCTCCATCTCTGCCAAAGGGAGCGAGGAGTGGGACTTACTGTGCCAGAGGACGATGTCTTCATTCTCTACCGGGTCGTTCCGTTGCACCCATTTCTCGACACCTTGGCTTTCCTTGCTTTGGTTGGTGAATTCACCGGCGGCGAATAGCTCGTCGTCCTGGTACTTGGTTACCCAGATAGGTTTGGTGGCGAAGGCGGCACGCTTGGCACCAAAGGACTTCGGGCTGGCGAGGAGCATCTGGCTGGGTGCGGTTTGCAGCTTGTATGAAATTGGTTTATAGGTAATAGGGTTGATTTGAGAGTCGTTGCGGATCTTGAATACACGGTGGCGTTCGACGCTGGTGTTGGCCGTTCCACTCGTCCGGAGGACGGTCTGCTCTGTTGTGTACCCCACGCTCCATGGGTTATTTTCGTCTTCGGGCATGGGCACACTGTCCTCATAGTAAAGCGTGTTTTTGAACCCGTCCAGGGCGGGATCCATCCGGAATGAGAACATGTGCTGATGGTAAGGGGCCATCACGCCGGGGCCCACGTTTGTACCCCAGGGAACGGTCTTACCGAACTCCTCGTTGTCGAATGGTACGGTGGAGAGGATGCCGGTGGCGCGTACTTCGAGCTCGATGTTGGCCGCTTGGTCGAAGATGAACGCGAAAATGTATTCATAGTTGGCCACGGTGCAGATCATCTGCACAACCAGCTGGCGGTTGCGGACTACCGTTGCGGCCCCTGTACGGTAGTTGCTGTGTTTATGCTGAAGCCCGTTGTCTTGCTCGTGGAGACAGATAACATTGGGCAGATGGATCGGGTTGCCCTTGGAGTCGGAGCGGTAGCCGTCAAAGTACTTAATGTGGCCGAGACAATCACATCCCAGGGACAGCTGGTTCGCAGTAATACCGAACCCAACGTCTCCTACGTCAAACGCCTGCTTGCGGTGGTAGGGTGCCCGAGGGTCACCGTAAGGGACGGTCATTTCCGACACGGAGAGACGGTAGAACACGTTACGTCCATCGTAGGTCAGGTTGTAAATTACCAGGCCCTCGCGGCTGTTGAAGCCCACACGGAACCGCCATTTCTGCCAAGAGACCACGTTATCTTGAACATTGAAGGATGGCCCATGAGGCTGCTGGACAATGTACGGCTTGAGGTCAGTGCGCAAAGGCTCCTTAAGGAGGTCATGTGCGTATTGGACGGTCTCAACGGGCTTCCACGGCTGGGTCTCCATGGTTTGCGCATCAGTGCCACTGGGAAGATAGTCCATGCGTACAAGTTGTTTGGTGAGCCCGTCAAATACAGGGGAGAACTTGCAGGGTGTGGAATACTGGTTGTTCTGGGCGTGGTCGGTGGCGACGATATACATGTAGCATTGAAACAGACGGCGAGTCTCCTTCGGATCATCGGTTCCATAGATCCAGGGGTCATTACAAACCGTAACTCCCTCTGGCAATTGCATCTTGGCCACTTCGGCTTGGACAGCGGGATGGTTCAGACACAGTTGCTCCATCTCGAGCATTTCATCTATATCAACATGGGCCTAGACACGTTAGCTCATAGCTAATAACGACCGTGGTGTGGTATGAAATACCTGGATATCTTTGGGCATCTCTTTGGCTGAGATGACAGACCTTTTCCCTGCATCCAGCAAGGCCTTGTAGAATGCGCCATTGTCCAATCGATGGAAGAGAACCTGCAGTAAGCGGGTCGGCCGGCGAGGCAATGGCTTTCCCAGTCTCTCGGCTTCAATGAAAGGCACTACTTCCTGCTTGATTGGCTCCTGGATATCAATTTTCTTGTATCGCAGAGAGACCCCGGGAAAAGCGGCCTGCAGGATCTTGGTGGCCAACTGGATCTCCCCGGGGGTAATGGGGTCAAACGGATGAGGGAGTGAGGCCATTGTTCTTTCACTGGGAGAAATAAGAATGAAAGAAGGTGACTATTGATGTGAGCTGAGAGCCCGGGCCACGTCCGGTTTATATAATGGTCACCCCAGATAGCCAAGTCTTCGTTCGTGGGTCTCTGATAATCCCCCAGAGCCAAGCTGTCTCATAGTAAACGGCAGGAAATTTGGCTTTAAACCCCTTTGGGAACTGACATCGATAGGAACTGGTAGCTGATTGGTGGATACCCGACTCAGCGTATCTCTTGCCGAAGGCGGTTTAGCGTGGTGGTCGCGCTTGGACAAAAGCGCATGTCACTTGGCCCATACCCTGAAGCACTGATAGGCTCAAAGTGCCGGTCGATCGGCTGTCTTGCTTGTCACGACGAGCAGCAGTATAGTCATGGAAGGGCGGTCATATGAATAGCCACAGCGCAGGAAAGGTTATTCGTAGGAGACAATATTAGCGAATGCACCACTCACTGCGTACTATAGCAACATGACCATTTATTATGAACAGTAGACAGCTTATACGTAATTCCTAATTATATATTCTATACTCGGCAGAAACCCACTAATTGGATATCGAGGCCTCAATATCTGGTATATCAGCTGCCTACCCCAATAACTAGCGTATTACTCCTTTCTAAGATCTATGATTTAATATGTAGATAGGTATATGTATGTTCAAACACTGGATCGGTGAGACTGAAATATAGTCCGGGAAGCGGTTTGTTTTGAATGACCAAGATAATATATGTATTCATGGTTCTTGTAGACATTATATATGTATAACCAGCACGTCGAAACCCCTGATGGTGTAGTTGGATATCACGTTTGACTGTAATGGAAATTCCTTTGTAATCAAAAGGTCGCTGGCTCGATTCCGGCTCGGGGGAGACAACTTTTTTTGTTGTCTGGTTTATCTATACAAAGTGTACTGTGTGGTTCGAATCCTGTGAATACTGGTATCTAATCTTATCGGCGTATCCGCCCAAATGGCCGAATTCTCGTTTTCGCTATCAAACTGCGGGGTTGCTGACTCACCCCGTGGATACGCTCAACAATGCATTGACCGACTGGAAAAGCGATATCGATGAAGCTTTTTTGCCACAATCACATAGGCTAGCATGCCATAGTCATTGGGGATCAAGATGGATCGCCCTGAGCGCCCAAAGCGGACCTCCAACGCGTAAGTCTTGAATCCAGCTTGTCAAGAATCAACCCTGACTCTCCGCAGGTGCAGGCGATGCCGATCTCGCAAAGTCAAATGCTCCGGCACACATCCCTGCGATAAATGTCGACAGCGTCGTCAGGAATGTGTCTTTGAAGATGATCGGAAAATTGTTGTCTCAGAGGAGTACATACATCTCAAGACCCTCATCGTCTTCACACTTGATTGACGATGTTTCAGGCTATTTCTATCTCTAAAGCGAAGGGTGGAGGAGCTCGAGTCTACCCCGCCAGCGAGGAAACGGACTCGTACTTTGGAGAGCAGTAGTGTGGGTGAAAGCACTTATGGTAACACGGGTGCAACACCAGTACGAACATCCGAGACACCCCAACCGCCCACCCCTGAACAATCCGGGGGCAGTCGATATGATGAACGATTCGCCTCCAATCCCCTGGCCTTGGTATCGCCTGGCTACGTCAAGCATACTGGCCGCAGGCAGAGACCGTGGTGTATGTCACTTGCTGTCAAGACCCGCCACAGAAACTGACCTGTCTAGTATTCCTCGGACCTACATCTACCTGGTCCTTCAGTCGTCGGATTCTGAATACCATCCAAGCACGCTTGAGTCCACACAGCTCGGCACCGCTACCTCTCGCTGTGGATGGCGATGCTTACCAACTTCAGTGGCGACAAGCCAGCTCCGAGGAGCTTCCTGACATCAGTGGACTGCCCTCCCTGGAGCATGCACTGTATATACTGAACGCGGTTCAGTTCCATTTTAGTCACTTATACTTGTTGTTTGATGAAGATGAATTTCTTCGCCATCTATATGAGTTCTACGATAACGCCGAAGTGAAGGTACAAGAGAGCCGTCTCTGGTACGTCCAGTTCTTGATTGTATTGGCATTCGGGGAGGCTCTCTTAGCACCAGTGCGAAAGGTTTCCAATGCTGCTAGCTGGACGAAATATTTCTTACGAGCCATGTCCTTCCTGCCTGACATTACGGGCTTATGGCAAGATCCTGTTTTAGCCATCGAGGTTCTTACTCTCATCGGGCTTTATTTCCACTCCATCGACATGAGAGATACCGCATATTGCTATGTAGGTTGAAGCTCTTTTTCTTCCAAATTTCCTTCTCTGGTCAAAGCAGCTAAACAGTGTAGATTGGCCACGCCATACGCATGGCATTGGTGGAAGGTCATCACCGCGCCCCGCCTGTTGAGCAACTTGGCCAAAAGCTCGTGGATCGGTGTCAAAATATATGGTGGACCGTGTATATACTGGACCGGAAGTTTTCATCGCTGATCGGATCACCCAACGCGGTCAAGGATGATGAGATAACCACGCCCCTCTCGGATCCAAAATCGTGTGGCCAAAAGGAAGCCGCGTTGAGCCTGCATGTGAGGATTACACAGGTTATCACCCGTGTGCTGGACAGTAAGTATGAGTTAGTCCTTCGCCTAAACCCTTAGTCTGACTAGGCACACTCCAGCTGTATATAGCCCAGATGGAAAGCTGGGCGGCATCTTCCTCCGGAAGGTTCGGTCGGTGTTGCAGGAAATAACGGACCTTTCGCGCGAATTGGAGGATGTCTTCGCGCATCGGTTTTCAGATTCTGTAGAGTCGCTATCTGGAGTCACTACGCGACTGACATTATCCTGTCATCAGGTATGTGGCTTCTTAGATATTGTACAGGCAGCTCTCCTAACAGCGACTAGTGCATCATCGTCACTACCCGACCACTCGTCTTGACCCTCCTCTGGGAGCGACTCAACTGCTTCGAGCAAGGCGACATATTCCGAACATTATCATCACCAGTCCAGACCCTTCTGCAAGCATCTACCGACTCCGCATTGAAATCCTTGAGAATCCTCACTGCGCTGCGTGACCAGAGCCTTCTCGGTCCGTCTTCTCTCACTGACCCCCAAATAACAATGCTAACAGCATCAACCAGAAACCTTCCTCCCCTTTGACCTCGAAAACCTCTTCTCATCTTTCTTCATCCTATCCCTGATATCCGCCATCCTCCCGGACATCATCCCAGACCCCAGCTACCGCGACATGGGATTCAGTCTACTAGACGACATGATCGCTCGGGGAAACCGCGTAGCACAGCTCCGGAAATCCGAAATCGTGCAGTTAGAAGAACTAGTTCAGCCGTTGCTCCAGCCTCACCTGCAGCCCCTCACACCCGGGAGTAGTGCCAAGCAGGTGGGCGAGGAACAGCCGTCGGAGCAGACGAATGATTCCGCGGCTGTTCTACCCGCGGGTATCAGCCCGGCCCTGTCGGTACCAGACGCTGCCGATGTTGGTCAGGACGATGAGATACACTTCGACTGGAAAGAGTGTGGGTTGTCGTTGGAGCAGATGCTCTCAGTTACGGACCAACTGAACGCGAATAATTTGGTCCTGGATGCTGAACGGGAGGGATTACAGACTGATTTGTGGTTATGGAGTGATGGGTAGAACTGTGCCCAGGACTTTGGGTCTTTGTGTGTCTTGCACTTTCTCTCCCTGTAAATATCATAAACCCGACATAGATCTTATGAAGTCGGAGAAGAGCAGAATCCCACGACGCAACCATTCCAAAGAAATACCTTCTCAATACCACATAAACAGAAAGCAAACCCAAAACAGAACCAAAAACCAAAAGAAAAGACAAAAAGAAAAAGAAAAGCCAACAAACCCCCAATATGGATATCATAACTAACCCCCCTTACCCTTCACCGCGAATACCCACTCCCGCGACAGCAAGTGCCAAAGCACTGATCACCTAGACCCAGACTCCAAGTCAGCTCTCCTGAAACACACAACACACAGCACACAAACCAGAATAAGCACATACCATTATACAAAGCAGTCGCAGCTCGACCCTTAGACCCTTTCACAATATTCGATCGATTCCTAAGAGAGGTCCATACATCTGCCTCGATATTTCTCGAAGGACAGTACACAATTCTTACCTGGGTGCCAAAGTGACCTCGGACGCAGTGTCAGAGACTCTCGCGGCATCTGTGCGGTCTGGTATATGGAGGAAGGATTGGATCTTGGTCTTTAGGTTCTTGGGGCTGGGTTTGTCACTCATGATGGCGGAATATAATATATGGTGGCAGTGGGAACTTTGTAGGGTGTATGTAGTTGGTGGACAGTAAGTAAGTAAGTAAGTACTAGTAGTAGAGAGAAAACTTAGATGATGAGGACCCTGACAGAATGTAGCTACTATACTCCTTAATATACGATCCCAGAAATATCGCCTCCCACGCGACAACCACCACGACAGATATAGATCTACATGCTAATGCACGTTCACATCATCGATCCCGTCAGATCTCCTCGCTCACCGTCTCCCCCATCGTACAAACACCCTTGCTGTGGTAAGGATCCTCATCGGTTCGACCTCAGCCGTGGAGAACCCCGTATCCATTCGGCGAAACCAAGCTCTCATTGGTCCCCCGCGGTGCACAGATGATAGATCTGGCCTTCGCCGAACGATCATTCCAACCGAACCGACAATCAGGCGGTTATTGAGAATAATCAAAATAGTTTATTTTCTTAAAATGGAGAACCCGTTTCTGGGGGCGCTGGGGTGAAACCGTTTGTGGCGGGAAATAAGTACCTTTATTTTTGGTGGGGGTTTCAAGGGGTCTAAATTTATGCTACGCGGGTAGGGGGCTTTATGCATGCTTAATTTTTCTTGTGTCTGGGGTTGAGGTTTGGGTTTGGGGGTTCTTTTTTTCTTGTGGTTCTCTTAGGGTGTAGTAATTATTGTGAATATAGGTAGTTTTTTTTAAATGGAAATCAATCTTGTATAGCTTTGGTGGAGGACTTAGAATGTCTTCATATAATATCTAGTGTTTATATTTCAAATTCTGGTCCTGAGTACTACTACTCAGATCCTAGGGTTGAAGACACGGTGCAGGATGTATACTTAATTTGATCACAGTGGGAAGTACAGTAACCCTAAAAACTGGATGGTAGAACCACGGCTTCAACACGCTTAGTTTTTATACAATTGCTTGGTTCTACCACTGATATACTATTCTATTCCTTTTAAAAAAAATATATACTGTAGAAAGTAATTATTGAGCTATAGTAGAAATATTGTATATTTTGGAAATTTACTGTAGCAGGGTGTATACAGGTACTACAGTAGTACTCGCATTTCAAGATGAAACTATCCCCCCTATCACTGTAGCTGATTAAAACCATCTCATGAGATTCTATTCTATTCTATATCTTTCTATAACTTCTAAAATCTAGTCTTCAAAGCCCACCCCGCACAAACGCCCCTCGCAACAGCAAAAGCAACAGTAGCCGCCAGATAAAGCACGCCCCCGAACACGATAAGCCCCCAGTAATCCCCTGCATTGTGCTGTTGTATGCGCCCGCAATCGGAATCCCAGTGAGCGTGCCCACACTAACGATCGTGAAGGTCGTTCCGTTCCTCTTCCCGTAGTCTTCTGTCGCGCAGACCTGTGAGATGCACACGGGCGTGAGACTGATGGCCGCTCCGCTCCAGAAGCCAAAAAGCACTGCGTAGCAGATGATCGCGGCTAGGTTGTCTGCTGCTGTCAGCCAGAGGGCGAGGGTGAGTACTGCGCATAGGAGCGATGTGAGAACCATGACGTTGAAGCGGCCTAGTCGGTCGGCGATGAGGCCGGGGAGGAAGCGGCCTGGAATGGCGCCGAGGTTGAGGAAGATGATTTGCGCGTAGGACATGGTGTTGTCTACTCCGACGTGGACTGCGTATGAGGCGATGTAGGTGATTGGGATGAAGACGGCGAACTCGACCAGGAAGACGGCGGCGGTTGTGGTGGCGTATTTGATGTCTTTGAGGGCTTTGAAATCGATGGAGCCTCCTCCTGCTGTTTTGTTGCGCGGGAGGCGTGTTTTCATGAGGAGACAGGCTAGTGTGCAGAGGACGGCGCATAGCAGGGCGATGATGCGGATGGCCCATGGGAACCCGATTTTGGGGGCTGCGAACAGTACTATCAGGGGGAATATCACGCCGCCCAGTCCGCCGGCTGTGCAGGCGATGCCTGTTGCATAGCCGCGGCGAACGTTGAACCAGTGTCCGACGCATGAAACTGCCGGTGTGAACAGTGTGCAGGCTGAGATTCCTCCGAGGACACTAAAGGATAAGAAAATCTGGTAATATTCTGCATTGCGTTAGGGGTTGTGGTGTGTAATGAGATCCATACAAGAGGAGTGCAAGAAGTTTAGAGCCATATATACCTTCACTACAACTAAAGCATATCAGCGCAGCCACCATCCCAATTGACCCAGGAATAATGACATATGCTGGTCCATATGCATCAAATATCGGCCCTGTTACACATAGTTCAGTAACTGTTCATAGAACTGACACAGATTCACTCACCAGCTTGTGCTCCGGCAAAGTAAAGGAAGAATCCATAAGCACCATATATCCAGCCAATGCTTGATTCGGAGTAGCCCTGAAGCTGATGAGTGCTAGTCCAGGCATGCAGGATCCCCAGGCTATTCAACAGGCCCATAGATGGGATCATAGCACACCACGCCCCGAAAACTACCAGCCATGCTCTGAGACCTCCTTCGGGATAGCTTTCATTATTTGCTAGCTCGGGACTTTCGGATGTCCTTGAAGGAGCCACGCTCCGATCTTCTTTGCTTAACATTTCCAGGTCAAGGGGAACAGCAAAGAGTAGCGGATACTCGAAAGAGCGAGCTAGTCGGAGGATACATTAGAACAATTGATTGCTTGGTACACATCTTATATATATCTATATCAATTCATGTCGAAGTCGTCTTCTTCTGCCGAGCCGACAAGTCGACTCGGACCACTCGGTATTGGAGCCCCATATTGAAGACCGACCCATGAAGCCGGTTTCTGAGTAAACAGGACTGTAAGAGATAGGGCATAAGGAGTAAAATGCTCCATCTAGTTTAGTGGCCGATCAAGACCAATTGGGTAGAGTGATGGCATACTAAACACCTCGATGGAGACCTCGGGCATCTCGAACGATGATTGGCTGAAATAGACAGATAGCCCTGACCGGCGAACTCCGAGGTCCACGCATTGTAGATCATACTAGTAGCGGTGTATCTGGCAGTTATCCTCGTCCTTTTGTATGAGTATTGAGTATGGACTCGGCCGTGGAAAAGGAAACAGATATCGACTACCATCACTATTTATAATATATGGAATGGGAGCGAGTCATTAAGCACTGAACACGTTTCTACTGTCTCCAAAAAAGATAACCTGGGCCCATAGTCATATCTTTTACGCCCCTTCTCTAAGGTGGGGAACTCCGTGCCCTGCGCATACGTATCACATTGATTCTCGTACAGACTCTTGAAACACGGTCCACACGAGAACCATAGCTGAGGCCTTTAGACAAAACGACCTTTCCAGCGTCTACTATATTTCATACCAAGTGTTAGTGGAAGTAGTACCCCTATATATGACACTGACCCTGCGACTCGGGAAGACCCGAAGAAAGCCCTTCAAAATCTCGACACGCCACAGAGCTATCGTCTTTCTTCGGTAAGCGCCGTATGTGACGTGACGTAGCTTCGAGAGGATTGCAAACCGAGGCAGCAGTTTCAATCGCCTCTCACCATCCTTCCAGTGCTGAGTGTACCATTTTACGATCTTCATCTTTCTTTCATGGCGGAGCTTGCCGCCCAGTTCAATAAAGTCTGCATCGAAGCTCTTTAGCTTTTCGTCGATTAGAATTCCAGAGGCCGGAGGCTCTTTTGGATATTGCGCGGTGTAGACACAGGGATAGAATGGCGTCTGCTGATGAGAAAAATTGTTCTTTTCTTCTTGGTTGTATCCATTAACCAAAGCATCAAATAATGGTTGGGACATCTTGGACTAAGACACTTAGATTATGTGTGAAGATGCGTTAAAACAATATAGCAGAGATTCAGAGAAGAGGAATCGTAGACAAATGCCACTCAGCTACATTTAATGCCACCTGACCGGCTCTCAAGCAGAAGTCATGCATATGTGGATCGTATGTCAAAATTTGGCTATATATCAATTACTTATGTACATACTTTCAGGAACTGGTCGTCACAAGATATACCAGTTTCTAGGGCAAGTATAGACTGTGCGAACACGTCTCAGATTATCCTCAAATGACTATGCATTACAGGCTATATATAGTTCTAACGCCTCCACACCTATGAGGGCACCTTAAATGCCACGATTGAATATCACTTGTCCATTTTCACCTCCTCTTCCATGAAACCTTTCTTCCAAATGATCGGAACTCGAACAACGTTCTTGTACCAGACTGTTAGTTAACTAATATCATGTTGCTGGAATATGAATCTCGAAAATTTCGCGCTCTGCTATTACCTAGGGTCTGATAGGTCTGCGCATTAACGAACACGTCCCAGGTACGTCGAGAGGTCATACGGCGAAGCGGGTATATCCCGATTTCCTGGCAGCGATGTGGAGATTGTGATTGTGTCTGACGAGCACGTATAAATTGTTAAGCAGAAGGAGTATGAGGATTTGTTTAGTAAACATTCTGCATCAAGCCTTTTTTTTTTTTTCTTTTTTTTTTTCCCTGCTGGGGTCACTCTTGAGCCCTCCGAAAACACATACTAGATATACGGCTACGGGGATGATCCACCAAAGGGCGAAAATTACTCTCAGACAAAGAGTTTGCCAGTTACGTACTGTTTTGATGAGGCTTTGAATTTGCTTTTGGATAGAAACGTGGTCTCCTGTTGTGGAAGTATTCATATTGCATGACCGTAGCAGGGCACACGCACCTTAACAGACACACTACAAGTAGACCCTGCAGATTCTTTCCTGCGATAGCTTTAGTGGCTGAATTGACCACATTAGGGGGACTAATTGGAAGGTTGCTCAAGACCCATTAAAACGAACTGGTTGAGTTGTTACTGCGCCTTCTCCCAACAGTGGTCCGGGCCAGGGAGCGAATCAGGTCATTAATTCGCCGAACGCCTCCGAATGGCTTTTCGGCAGACACAGAATAATCCATTTACCCTACTATCCTTTCGCCGAACATCATAAACCAAGAGTATGGAGTCACTTTCCCCGTCAAATGCAAATAGCCCTCATACCCCGAGGTACACTCGCCCATATCGTTCTAAGCGTCATCCGCCTTGTGACCCATGTCGTCGAAAGAAGTTAAGATGTCAGGCGGAGAGAGGAAATACCTGTCAAAGATGTCAAACTTCTGGTTCTTTGTGTACTTTCGGTGGCCTTCAGGCTGTTCATCAGCCATCGACGGCACTCGCCGACGCGAATCAAGCGTCTCCTCCTTCAGCCCAACAAGTGACAGCTGTGCAGCCCGTGGAGGAGCTACACGCCGCAGTCAACACGGATGACTCTGCTCGATGCCAGTCAGAGCCTATCCTCCCCTTAGGCCCCTCAGCTGGCCCTGATTCAGGAGAAGTCCCGTCAAGCGAACCCGTTACGACGGCTCCAGCAACTTATCACTTTCCAGAGAGGCCTCCAGCTCAGGCGATTCAGACATTAGACCAGCTGAAAGGCTTCTCATATCAAGTTACTGGGGCCTCAGGCGAATCAGACCCATGGCTTCTCCGGCATTGCAAGTTCGACGACCATGGTTTTCTTCTTTTCCATCAGGTACATTTCCGAAATGCGGGAGGGCTTCCGCTTGACGAAAAGATTCCCGTTCATTTTCTAGTAACTACGGACGAGTTGTATGGGCCCGCAAAGGAAGAAACAGCCATTCCCAGGAGTCAGAGTCGAAGGGAGGAATTGAATGGCCTGGTTCCCCTAGACTGCGGCCAAAAACTAGTAGCCTTGTGAGTGGCCTCCTCGTGTGATTCAGTATCATCAACTGACATAACAGGTTTGTAAAATTCATCTTCCCGACTCTTCCTGTCATCTCCAGGTCATTATTTGGTCTCACCTTTACTCGCATCACACCCGATCAACACGTTCTTAACAACATGCCGGTTCATCTCCTGGCCGCCATATACGCTTCGGCACAACCATTTACCAAGTTTGACGAGTATCTCTCAGTTCTCAACGCTTACTCAACACCGCCAACTGAGCAGCTCTGGCGCATGGTGTGGGAGATTCTTCTACAAGAGATCCACACCCCTCACTTAGCAGCCCTGCAAGCAGGACTGCTTTATTTGCACAAAGCACCAGGAAAGAGTCAAAGTGCTGTTGCTGACAGCGCATCTGTATGGTCTTTTGTTGGATTACTCGTCGGGCTTGCTACATCGCTCGGTCTTCAGATGGAATGTGGGCCGATGGGCCTTCCTGCCTGGGAGCGCCGACTGCGACGAAGACTATGGTGGGCAATTTATGCCGAGGACAAATTGAGAAGCCTCCTGATGGGTCGGCCCCCGTATATCAGACAAAATGAATGGGATGTAACAGAACTCGATGACAATGATTTCCATATTGATGAAGCGCAAATCGTTTTGTTGTCGCCTCCGAGAAGCCTGCTGGCACAAGATGTACTGCATGCACAGCAATTCCAATGTTTTGCTCGTCTGTCTCTCATAGCAGATGAGGTGCAGCATGACCTTTAGTAGGTGATATTTTTATCTTATCGAAGCCGTATTGTTATTAACAGGCATATCAATAGTGCTCTGCGATCCTCACAACGCTTATCGTCGAATTTCCCGGAATCTTTCAAAACCGCTCGTCCACTTCTTCAAAAGCTGAGGGAATGGTACGTCCATTTACCGGCACCACTCAGACTGCATGATAGGCTTTTCGCATCCATTGACGGGACAGGTCCACAATTAACCTGTCTTCATTTTGCATACACGCTTTTGGAAGTGTTCATCTTCCGCGCTCTTCTGCGACCTATGGTCCGGTCTGCTACTCCGCCACCCTTGTTCGAAGCCACAGAAGCCTCAACCAACTTCACCACAGCGCTCGATGACTACATCTTCCATATCATGGAATCCGACGAAATCGAACCCACCCCGGCAATAGACCTGTCAAACGAGAACGGTGCGGGGAGCGCTGTTCTCAAAGCGGCCGAGAACTGCGCCGCGAAGATGCTTCGATTGGTAATGAGAATGGCATATAGTGACTTGGCTGGGTATTGGTTCTCATGTATGCGTCTTCTATCTCCTCATTCATCTCTGGGCAGATATTCTCTAACATACTATCTGTGCCCAGGGTCTCGGATTGGCTTCGCGACTGTTTCTAGCTTCATGTTACTCTTACTCGTGCAAGCGCCCTCGAAAGAGCATGCTATTAGGGCCAGACGATTAGTGCACATGTGGCGACAGGCGCTTCGAAGGCAGAGCGAGGGTTCCTCGTTGATGAATTTGGCTCTGGTACGGTTGGATGGAATCCACTGGACCGGACTGTGCCGGAATTATTACCTTCCAAAGCATGTTAAGGAGGCGCTTGATGAGACTGTGTACCAGTAGATGTGCTTGTTTTCTCGTCGGATGCTTTACGAGTGTGGCGAATAATGCGGGATATGGAATTCAAAGCCCATATAGTAGAGTCATGCCTTTTTTTTTT